CCACCCATTTTACGGGATAGCCATCTGCCTTACTGTACCAAAAGCCAGTTATTAGTGGACAAACAGAGCTAATACAAAGGAGCTTTTGTTTGAAATAAGGTCAGTGGAAAAGTAATTGTGACGTGGATACTCTGTGCTATGAGAGGAGGGGGAAATCCAGTCCCCTGAGGTATGACTATAGTTGTTACTAGGTATAAAAGGTTTAGAAATCTAAGCTCTGTCCACTAATAACTGGCTTTTGGTATAGTAAGGCAGCCAGCTATCCTATGAAATGAGTGGCCAGAAATTCTATAATCTTTCAACTCACTGAACTCACCAAACTCATAATGCTATTTTCTTTCCTTTTTTATTCCCTTCCCTACCCTCCTCTTTCCACAGTTTTGCCAGTAATCTACTTGTGGATTTAATTTAATGCAGATATGTACATAATGTATAGATATGCAGATATGGGCATAATTTAATGCAGATATGTAATATTTTGACCTGATTGTAGATGCTTGGGAAAGTTGTCTGTTGAACTTGCATTAATCAGGTAAGATATTTTATATTGCAAGTAATTGGAAAACTCAGTTCAAACTGACTTATGTGAAAAATGGAAATTTGTGGTGTACATGACTGAAAAGGTGTTAAAATGGTTTTTTTCATAGCTTATTTCAAGGAACTTGAATGTCATGAGGACACAGTGATTTCTATATACATATATATTTCTTACTATGTATTATATATATCCTCATATATAATATATATTCTGAAAGATCTGATGAGCTGAAATATATACATATGTATGATCATGTATATTACATGTGATCATTGTATCACTGATATACATATATATCATGTATATTTATATATATGTACAAACACACAGTTTTTTCTGTGTGTTGGCACCATTTTTCATACAGCCTTTCTTTATTACCACAGAATTGCTGCAGCTATTCTGTAACTTATGATCCCTCAGGTTCAAGTCTAGTAGAAAGAAACAGTTACCTATTTTTCAGAATACCCAGCAGAATTCTTACCACATTTCATTGTCTCTGTTTGGTCATGCTACCGTCCCTGAACCAGTCACTGTGGTCAGGAGAATGGAACACTCTCATTAGTTAAGCCTCAATTCAAGTTACAAATTAATTTGTGGAACTGAGTTGAATCAACTCTTCCGGAACTATGTGGACTACGATTTGGGAAAGGCTTCTGCCCAGATGTTAGGAAATGATTATCTAAAGAGGAATGAAGGGTTACTGGAGGGCAAAGGTAGAATTTCTATTACATGGAAGTGAAGGTATTTCTCCCTTTTCTATAACCCTTACAGAGCCATTCCAACTTTGTTTTTACTTCTAATTGCCTTTTTTGCTTTTTAAAATGACTGTTCATCAAGTCTTTTGTTATCTTTATCTTCCTTATCATAGAAAACATACATTGAACCAAGACATGATCATATTATCTGGAAAAAAATACCTTTGTCCATTTGTTGATTACTGTTTTATAAGCTATGGATAAATACACACAGCAGAGGCTACATTTTATATCTTACGAATTTCATTGAGTCACGTATCTGAGGAATCTGATGTTATCTAGACTCTATATCAATCCCTATAATACCTTGCACAAGCGATAATCTAGTTGAGAGGTTGGCAAACTGCAGCTCAGGAATAGGCCACATCCAGCCTGCTGCTAGTTTTTGTAAATACAGTTCTATTAAAACCCAGTTGTGCCTATTTGTTTGTATTGTCTGTGACTATTTTCATCCTACAACAGCAGAATTGAGTCCTTGCAACAGAGACCTTATGGCCCACAAAGCCTGACATGTTTACTGTCTGGACTTTTACAGAAAAACATGCTAAACTCTTGTCTAGCCATTGCTTGAGTGTACTCTGGTGACAAAAATTCTCTCTGAGAGAGAATCATTTCTAAAAGCTCAATTATCAACAAACAAAAATAATACTACTTTCACGTGTCATCCATTCACTTAGGTCTAAAATAGTATCCCACCTAGGAAATATATTTCAGTTAAAACACAAACAACCTGGTTTCACACCTAAATTGTACCAAATTAGACACATTTTTCTTGCTTAAAAGATTTTCCTTAAGAGTTAAGTTTTAAAATATTGATAACCTGTATACACACACGTACCATGGAGTACCACTCAGCCATAAAAAAGAATGAAATTATGTCTTCTGTAACAATGTGGATGGAGCTGGAGGCCATTATGCTCAGTGAAATAACTCAGAAACAAAGTCAAATATCACATGCTCTGACTTATAAATGGGAGCTGAACAATGGGTACACATGGACATACAAAGTGGAATAATAGATATGGGGCACTGTAAAAGGTGGGAGGTGGGTAAGGGTTGAAAAAATACCTGAATAGTGAACATTGTACTTCATAGGTGATGAGTACTTTAAAAGCGTGGACTTCACCACTATGCATTATATACATGTAAGAAACCTGCACTTGTATCCTCTAAATCAATAAAAATAGAGAAAGAGACAGAATGAGAGAAAGAAAGGCAGACAGAAAGGAATTAAGAAAAGAAAACCTTATTCCCTCCTAGCAGCTCCATGATCAGATAATGATTTTGTCTGTATACACTGAGCTTTTTAAGGACAAGATGAACTTTAAAATGTCAGAAGCAAGCCTTCAAAAACATACAATTCAATCAATTGTACTTACTCATTAACAAAATCCCTAGTAATCAATTGAGTAAACATATGGCTGTCACTTGCTAGTTTCATCAAAAAGCATACTGCATAGTTGTTGTAACATACTCATTTTGTGATTGTTAGCTGTATTTGAATTATAAATATTGAGTTTATTTTCCAGACTACGTAACATACAATTTAACATGTTGCTACTGCATAAATATGCTCCATTCATCTTTTGAGAATGCTTAAAGCAGCTGTATTTATTTTTAGAATTATTTTCAGCTTGGATATTGTGGGGATTGCTAAATCAACCTTTTAAAAAGTTTAGGCTGGACATGGTGGCTCATGCCTGTAAACCTAGCATTTTGGGAGGTCAAGACAGGTTAATCACTTGAGTGCCGGAGTTTGAGACCAGCCTGGGCAACATGGCAAAACCCTGTCTCTACAAAAAAATACAAAAATTAGCTGGGTGTGGTGACGGGTGCCTGTATTCCTAGCTACTCAGGAGGCTGAGGTGGGAGGATCACCTGAGTCCAGGAGGTCGAGGCTGCAGTGAGCCACTCCAGCCTTGGTGACAGAGTAAGACCCTCTCAAAAAAAAGTAAATAAATAAAAAATAAAATGTTTAATACATTTAGCTACCTATTTTCTCAGATTGTAGATAAATGGACTCTTGCTTCAGTGATCTAAGTTTGAGTGTTTTTGATCTATTAAGTGACAGTGCAAACAGTGCTATCAACCTAATAAAATGGATTAAAATCCACAAAATATACTTTGAAACAAACTAAATTAGTACTTGTTAATCTTGCTTAGTATATGATTGATAAATATTTAAATAACACATTATTTACTTCTAGGAACCCTGTTTTAATATAAAGGATTACAGAAGGTCTATAAATCAAATTTTATTTGAATTTTATTACTTAGTTGATTTAGGATGGAGATGTGCTAAATATTACTTATTGCATGCTCTGACAAGTAGTTAATTCTAATTAATTTTTTATAATATTAGACTTTTTTCCCCCTCTGGATTCAGTATGTGTGTATCTCGAAAATGATTTCAGAGTATTGATAATGTAAATATAGCGGTGATAGGAATAAAAATGTCAATATTTAAGCTCATAGGCTGAATCTGCTTTTAGGAATGATTTTATGCTAATAAAATTTACTTAATATTGATTTATTTAATGGCAATAACCATGATAGGTTAAATTACTTATTATGCTACATAGATGAAAAAGCAACAGTGCCACTATAGACTCGTCAATGTGGCAACTAGTAAAATGAGGAGAAGGGATCCTTAATGAAGGTTGTAAGCAGAATACATGGAGAAAATTAAGATAATGAGTAGTAGGTAAGAGAATAGCACTTTCCACAATTATTTCTTGGCAGCTCTTTGATACTTTTAGGATATTTTTGAAAGTGATCTTTTTCTTTTAATTATTGAAAGTGATTTTTTTCTCTTAATCACATAAGCTATTTTGAAACAAATGGGATTCCTTCAGTTTTTCTTAAGAAACCCCAGAACTGTCATATATCACAGCCTCTGTTAAAGTATATATATAGAAATAAATACTAAGATATAATGTTCAGTGATCTTGAGCACAAGATTTTGTTTTTGGTTTTACTCTGGTTTGGTGTTGTAATTTTCAAATTGAAATAAATGCCCATTCACATTTTATTTTAAAACCGTGATCTCTTCTGCTCTCTTTGTAGTGGTTGAGTAGTATTGCAGCTGTTCTGATCTCTTTGCATTGACTTACAAGATGCCATTTTTTCTATTTTCTTTTCTTACCATACTATTACTTAATGTGGTTTCCCTTTCACTATTCCTAATTCTTATTTCCCACATTCTTTTTTCTTTTTTGAGATGGAGTCTCACTCTGTCGCCCAGGCTGGAGTGCAGTGGCATGATCTTGGCTCACTGCAACCTCCCTCTCCTGGGTTCCAGCAATTCTCCTGCCTCAGCCTCTTGAGTAGCTGTGGTTATAGGTGCATGCCATCATATTCGGCTAATTTTTTTTTTTTTAGTAGAGGCGGGGTTTCACCATGTTGACCAGACTGGTCTCAAATTCCTTACCTCAAATGCTGCACCTGCGTCGGCCCCCTCAAAGTGCTGGGATTGCAGACGCGAGCCACCGTGCCTGGTCCACACACGACTTTAAATGTTGATGAACTCCAGAATTCCCTTCTTGTGTATTTGCTGACTTAATACATTTGACCATTTATAAAATAAAAGCATTTCAAAACAATTTTTAAAACAGAATAGAACAAAGGATTTAAATAAGTTTCAAAGCATTTTATATATCAGTGATCTGTGTTACTATTTAGTAAATATTATAACATTTTTCTTTTAGAATTCAAACCTGATACATCAGAAAGTGCCTCCTCCTAATGATCGACAAGGATCTCCAATATTGTCATTCATCATTCTTGAACAATTTAATACTATTCGTTTAGTACAAAGTGTTCACCAGTCTCTTGCTGCTCTCAGCAAAGTCATCAGAGGAACTACTTTATTGAGTTCAGAAGTACAAAAATTGGCAAGTGCTTTATTAAACCAAAAGGTAAGCGAGTACTAACTGTATGTATTTTTATTTCATTTTTATAAGTGACTCCTCCATCACACATATATTTGTTAGGAATATATAGTTAATAGTAGCAGAAGACCCAAGTCACACTGGCTTAAGCCATATAAAAATTAATTGGCTGATGTAACTGAAGAATCCAGTGGTATCTAGCATTATGCCAGCTTATGTAAGAACTTAAATTGTCATTAGGGCGTCAGCTTACGTAGTTGACTAGTAGCTATCTAGTGTTGTATATATAATGAAATCTATGTTGATTTCACTTTGGGGCAGGTCCCCTATACATGAGCTTGAGTTTTATATTCTGAGCTCCAAGTCCAACAGAAAGAACACATGTTTTCTAGTAATGCACACAAAAATCTTAGGATTTGCTTTGATTAAAACCAGTTGGCTCATGTGTCATGCCTATTCCCATACTAGTTCAGTGGGCAGTGTATACAAAGCTCTCACTGACCACAGTTTCCACCAAATGCCTCTTCTTAGAGCTGGGGATGGATTTATCTTTGCCTGTAACCCATATACTGAGAGTAGGAAAACGATGGTTACCAGTGAAAAGTCTAGATACTTTTAGAAGAAAGGGAAATCAACACTTCTTGTGCTGAAAAATTGGACCTTTTTAAATGATAGTAAAATCCATGTATTTTATAGCTATTTGATAGAAACAAAAATATGGGATGTTCTGCATAGATTTATTTTAGCTGTTTGGAGAATAGAAACTTTGCAGAAGTTGGTATCTGGAAAATACTTCACTGGAGTACTATAGGAATTAAGTTGTCTTTCCGCCCCCCTTGCTCTTTATACTCAATATAGGCAATCCTCTGATAGTCAACCTGAAAGTCCTCTCTGTTTATATTCTGTTTGAATATAAAATAATAGCCTTCCTGGAACTTCCTACATTCATATATATAGTAACATTAAAATATCCAGTGCTTTTCTACATATAAAGAAAGGTCTACTCTGGCATCCTTACCTTCTTTTTTACCTTGAAAAATAATCTGTTTTGCATTGCTTTTTCTTTGCGCATAGATCACCATTTCTGTTAATCAACTGTGATTATGAAAATACTATAGTTTTGATTTGTACCACAGATTATAACTAATTTGTTTTTAATTTGGGGTAGATATATTGTCAGTCATGGAAGATTCTTGGCACAGTGAAGGAACCAGTTGGAAAGGATTCTAAACTTTCTAAGAACTTTACTTAATTAACTCATTTAATCACCACAATAACATTCTGAGTGACATACTATTATCTCTATTTTACTGTGATGAATTTGACGCAGTAGGGTGTTACATAACCAGAGTCACACAGCAAAGAGTTCCAGAATCACGATTTGAATCTGGGTATGTCCTGTTGTGATAATAAATGTAAATGCTTCAAATTTATATATCAAAATATAAATGTCCTTGAGAGTAAATTTCTTTTTCCAACTATATGCTGTAGAGAACAAAATGTATCAGTAAGACAAATTACTGTTGAATTAGAAGAGAAAATAATAACATAGGAAGATGACATGTAGAAGAGAACAGTAAGTCTAGTAGGACTGGTACACAATGAAGTATAATTAGGATTGTATTAGATTTTGAGGTCTTTAAAGCCAAAGAAAGGAACCTGGATTAAATGCTGTAGGCAATAATTATATTTATATGTAGAAATAATATAGCAAAATGGCTAAGAATGTGGCCTCTGGAATATGTCTGCCTGTTTGAGTTCTATTCTACCACATAGCAACTGTGTAACCTTGGGTAGGTTAATTAAGCCTCTCTAAACTTCGCTTTTCTCGTTGTAAAATGAGGGTAATAATGGTACCTCATTATTATGAGGTACCTCATGGGATTATTACAAGAATTAGAACATCAGTAAAGTGCTTGGCACATAGCAAGCACCCTACAAATGTTGTTCTTGTTATTGTTATTTTAGGATAATTTTACTATGAAAAGCTCTTCAAGTATTTATCTGGTATCATTGTGCAAAATAAGTTTATAGAAATAGGAATACCATGTAGGTTACTGTAATTCTCATCTCAGGAAGAGGTAGTTAAGTTAGGGCCTGGAATAAGATATTTCAAGATGGTTCTATGTGATATTAATAAAAAATGTAAGAGGTAATTGGTAACCCATCAGAGATAGTGAAGAGGTAAGAGGTGCCCCATCAGAGATAGTGAAGGAGGTTTCAAAATATTCTGAGATTTATAGGAGGGTGAAGTAAATACCTGAAGTAATTGTGATGGATAGTGCTTGAATTATCTGTTTTTAACTACCTTCTATTAGGCTGTGGTGAGCTCAAGTAATTGAAACTCCTGATGCAAGTAATACAGATGTATTCAGGAGGGGTACTTCTAAGGGGTTGAGGGGAAAAATGCCTGTTGAGGGTCCGTGTCCCCCTAATTCTGGTATAGGAGCTAGACTAGAGTGGTAAAATGTCCAGAAGAAACCAGCACAGAATACTTCTGAGATAATAAATGGGATTATTCCATATCGGAGGCCTTTTTGGACAATGGTTGTATGGTGGCCTTGAAATGTACTTTCTTGGATAATATCACATCATCAGTGGTATATAGTTAGTGTATTGGATAATAGGCTTAGGGTTAAAAGAGTTGTAGAGTTGAAGTGAAATCACATGGCCAGGCCAGATGTTATTAGAAGAGCTGAGAGAGCCCCTGTTAATGGTCAGGGGCTGGGGTTGACTATATGGTGCGCATGTGTTTGGTGGGTCATTATGTATTGTCATGTAGATAGAGGCTTAAGGGCTAGGGTGAATTCGAGAATGGTTAGTAGGATTAAAATAATGAAAGCAATTGAAGCTGTAGGAAGACTAATAGTTGATAGTACTAGTGTGGCTCCTCCGATTAAGTATATTAGTAGGTGGCCGGCTGTAATGTTGGCTGTTAATCGTTCAACTAGTGCTATCAGTTGGATGAATAGGCTAATAATCTCAATGATTACCAATACAGGAATAAGTGGTATGGGTCTGCCTTGTGGTAAAGAGTGGGCTAAGGAGATTTTCTCTTTTAAACCAGAAGCCTGTAATGACTGTGCCTGCTCATAAGGGGACTGCTATACCTAAATTTATTGATAATTGGGTAATTGGTGTAAATGAATGGGGTAGAAGCCCAAGGAGATTGGTCGAGGCAATGAAGAAAACTAGGGATATCAGTATTAGGCATCAGGTTTGTCCTTTAATGTTATGAGCAATTATTATTTGTTTTAGTACAAGTTGAACTATTCATTGTTGACTGGAGATCAGTCGATTACTAATTAGATGATTGGAGGTTAGATAGTACGGTGGGAAATAAAATGGTTAATACTACTGCGGGTAGACCTAGAAATGTCAGGGTAATAAAAGAGGTGAATAAATTTTCATTCATTTTAATTCTCAAGAGGTTAAATGTTCTTGTGTTTTGATTATTTTTTGTGTAGGGGGTGTGTAATAAATGAGAATAAAGTTATGATTAGTGACAAGATAACAATAGATCATGTGGAAATAATCTAGTCGAGGCATTCACTGCAGAGAGGTGCAGACCTCTCAATCTTTAACTTAAAAGGTTAAAGCTAAGTAGCTTTACAGTGATATTATAGTGTGGTTGTGGATCAGGTTTCAAAATTTTTTAAGGGAATTGATTCTAGCATTATAGGTATAAAACTGTGGTTAGACCCACAAATTTTTGAGCACTGTCCATAGTAGAGGCCTGGTCGTGTAGCAGTCAAGGTAGTTTAAGCGTTCAGGAATTGCATCTCTTTTGATGCCTAATGAGGGAATAGTTCATGAGTGTAAGATGTCTTTTGATAAGACTAATCTACAGATGGGTATCTCTATTGGGAGAACTGTTAGGTTATCAACTTCAAGGAGTCAAAGCTCTCCTGGCTTTAAGTCTGCTGTTGGGGTTACATAAGAATCAAAGCCTAACTCTTCATATTCTGTACACTCATAGCTTCAGTATCAGTGGTGACCAATTGTTTTGATGGTAATAGAAGGGTTGTGAACCTCATCTGTTTTATATAGAATATGTAGGGATGGAAGGGCAATTAAAATTAAGATAATGGCAGGTAAGATAGTTCAGACAGTCTCGATTTCTTGGGCATCTATGGTGTTAGTATGAATTGATTTTGTTGTGAGTATTCGGGAAATAATATATAGGACCAGAGAACTAATTAGGAAAATAATTATAAGAGTGTGGTCATGGAAAGTGAGTAATGCTTCCATAATAGTAGCTCCATAATAGTAGCGCCTCAAAGGCCTAACTAAACTGTCATAATGGATGAACCATTACGACATACAGGGTTTGACCTATAAATTTGACAAAGTTATGTAATGATTTTACTAATATCTTATCAAGAAAGCCATAGAGGTTATGGGATTGGCTAGAAACCAGTTTCTGGAGGTTTGATTCCTTCCTTTTTTGCTTAGGTTTTCACATAGGTAGGTTCTTCGAATGTGTGGTAAGGTGGTGGACAGCCGTAAAGTCATTCTAAATTAGGAGATGATTATTCAGTTGTTAGAACTTTTCATTTTGAAGCAAAGGCTTCTCAGCTCATAAAAATTATTAGTATAACCGCTGTTAGTGAGATAAATGAGCCTACTGATGAGATAATATTTCATGTGGTATACGCATCGGGATAATCGGAGTAACGTTGGAGCATACCGGATAGGCTGAGGAAGTGCTGTGGGGAAAAAGTTAAATTAACACCTATAAATATAATGGTGAAGTGGATTTTAGCCTAAGTCTGATTAATTGTATAACCTGAAAATAAGGGGAATCAGTGGACAAAGCACTGTATCATGGTGAATACTGCTCCTATTGATAGGACGTAGTGGAAACGGGCTACAACATAATGTGTGTCATGTAACATAATGTATAGTGATGAATTAGCTAGTACAATGCCGGTTAGACCTCCTACTGTGAAAAAGAAAATGAATCCTAGGGCTCAGAATATTGTGGGAGATCATTTGATGTTACCGCCGTGCACTGTAGCTAATCA